TATACATCCATATTTATATCTATATATATACTTATACATACATATATATATATATACCACTTTCATTACTTAGCACATTAAATACTTTGTAGCATATGCGGCACATTTGTCTGTGGTGATTCCAAGTGCTTATGAACCTTTTGATTTGTTCTTACCTTTCTCAAACGGAACGGTGCTGTACAATAATATATGCACATATATGGAACATCTTGGCTATTGACGTCTTCAATACTAGATGACGAGTACCATGAACAATGCATTTCATATTTCCACCTGACGTACTGAATATTTTTAGACTTGCCTCCCTCACATGCATTTTGCTTTTGTACTGAAATGTGACTTATTGTACAGAAAAGTGAAGATGCCAAAAGCCTTTGAATGTGCCGATAAAGAGCTCCTTGTGTTGGCCTAGTTTATAGGAGTATACTTCATTCCCTGAGACGTTATGGGTGAATCGAATCCCAGGTTTTGGAGAACAAGTAGATTCGCCACAGTCTTCCAAGTCGAGAAATGTGGATGCACTGTCCTGGATTGGGACTATATGGATTTGTCTTGAAGAAAGGGATAGAGGAGCATTCATATACCCTCGGAACCGATTTTATGTATAGGGAAGTAGTAAACCTATTCACGAAATATGTAATTGTTCACAGAGTGTGCGTATTCGCTAGTTAGGCATCGTTCTGCGGAGCTGTACGCAGCGCGTATCGAAAAGGCCAATGCCAGGGCCCTCGTCGGCGAACGGGCCTGTTGATGTATTAATCTACAATTTCAGCTCACATTAGGACAAATTATGACAATTTGACAATGAATAAGTACTAAATTCTCCAAACCTTTGTTTTGATAGCTTATTCTGTTTTTCATGTCAGTGTTCTCTTGTGTCGTGCGCCACTAACTAGGGCGTGGCATCGACACACGTGTCGACTACACTAGAGAACATCAGACCATGTTGAACAGTTGATTCGTAGTGGCTACATGCTTGTTACATTCCTTTTTTAGGTCATTGGTGTCTTGTCATCGATATTGCCGATCAACATTTGGCATAATCGTTTGAGATTTCTCCTCCGAGTATGATATTTGCTTGTACCTCGGTATACGGCCGGTCACGCCAGCACTGCGCTACAAAAAACTTCATGCGTAGTTCAAAGTTCGATATTCAAGCGGTCACATCCATTAAGTACACATCAAGGGTGTGGGAGAGACTCCCTTCTCATGGTTCGGTATCTTTCTCACTATGTATTCTCGGTCAATATAAAGGTGTCAATACTCCCTTTCTGGTATCTTGCACTAAAAGCAGCTGCTGTTTGCCCAAGCTATCACCGCGTGGGCCTTCCTGGCGATCGGGTTGCGTTGAAGCAATCATCGGAGCTGTACCACAGGATTTTTGAGCATCAACTTTGCGAGGTCTCACTTACTTGGCTACAGCAATTCGAAGACAGTTCAATGATCACCATATATCCCTCGTTTCAGCACGGTATCCTATCAACTTGGGCTCGTCGCTCAATTTCGACGCTGTTTTGATCGCTTGTGTTCAGTGACAATCCAACGATCATACTGATTAGCCTGGACTTGAGATACGATCTATCCGGTACAAAAAGACCACACCGCTCAGTGTAGTGCGCACTACGGTCGTGCCCTTTTGACCCAACACGGGTATACATTAATATAATTACAGTTCAAAGTTCTCGCTCAACGGTGGGGGCTGTGGCGGTTTACTCGAGAACACCTCTACATCCGGATCTTCCACGCGCGTGAACGTTATAATCACAGTATCGTTGAAGGCTCCAGGCAGTGCCTCGAAAGCTGGCAGTGGTAACTCGTCGACAAATTCGGTTATTTGTGCCAAACAAGGCACCTCTCGGTCAAGTTTTCGCTTCAGATGACTGTAAGAAGAAGGATTGTCCTGGTATTAGGCGACAGATGGCAAAATGTACACGTATACTACTGCTATATTCGCCGGTGGTTAATTCGAATATGCATAAATCGCACAAGCGTATATGCGAGGTACTTTGTTTCCTTCGAACATATACATACACATTGACAGACTCATCATACATGGCAATAAAATACGGCATATAATATGCAAACCACTAACCCGGTATGCTCTCTTAAACATCAGGTGTAGCAATTGGAATGCAGACAGCGGAAGCAGGAGAGGCACTGTTAACGTATATACACACAGAAAGATATGTATATATGTAAATACACATTTAAACATTTGCTTATACATGCATATAGAAACACAAACATACACAAACACAAAAATTGACAAAGACACAGATAGACAGACACACACATATATATAAATGCGTATATATATTTATAAATATATATATATATGTATATATATATAAAGATGTATATATGTATATATATACATATATACACAGCCACACACACACACACACATATATATATATATATATATATACTACAAATATATATATATACT